ATCTTGCTTGCCACTGCCACATTAATCTTCCTAAAACATCTCTTTCATCATGTCCCAATGTGCTGGGTGCCCTCAGCACTTCCCTTTGCTGTGGGATAAAAGCCAGGCACGTAACCCACAAGGACAGCCTCACAGCTGCTATTAATTGAACACCTATGACAAGACGGGCACCAGGCGTGGTGCTTTACATGCACAATCTTCCAGAAAAACAGTTGATTATCCCCACGTTATGGCTAATGAAACAGAGACTCTGGCAGGTTAAGCAGCTTGCCCGTGTTCCCACAGTCAGTATGTGGCAGAGCCAGAATTCCAAACCAGAACCACCTGGTTCACGAGACGACTATTTTTCTTAGATCCTGGGCTTCTCTCTTCCAATCATTTCTTCACCTTTTATGACGATACTGAATGAGCAGTCATCTCTGTGGACTAGATGTGGATTGAGGCACCACCTTCAACCCAGGATTAGAGTGAGGAAGGCCTGCAGGCTAGAGGATTGCCCCAGGGGAGCCAGTGTCCCTCAGCAAGTCACACCTTGCACTCTGGCTGAGGTTCTTGGAACCTCCTGGTTGTGGAGGACTCGACAAGAGCCTCTAATATCATGCTCAACCCAGAGCAGGGGCTCAGCAAGTGTGCACTGGCAGTGCAAAAAAGGATGGGTGAGGCCAAAACCGGTTTGGCTCAGCGGATAGAGTGTCTGCCTGTGGACTGAAGGGTCCCGGGTTCGATTCTTGTCAAGGGCATGTACCTTGGTTGGGGGCACATTCTCAGTCGGGGGTGTGCAGGAGGCAGCTGGTTGATGTTTCTCTCTCATCGATGTTTCTAACTTTCTATCCCTCTCCCTTCCTCTCTGTAAAAAATCAATAAAATATATTTTTAAAAAAAGAAAAGGATGGGTAAGGTCCCAGGTCTTCCTGAGTCCTAATCCAGTCTACACTTGTCCAGGAGGAGATGGAGGAACATTAGGGTGGAGCCAGGAGTTAGTCTCTGAGGAGCCTCAGGATAACTTTGGCCAGGTATGAGGTAGCCAGGTGATCCACACCATCCGGCTTGTGCTTCTGCTCCTTCCTGGAACTTCCTCCTGTCTCTTCAGACCTTCCTGCGCGGCTCAGCCTACCTTTTCAGAGAACCTAATGTCGTGCTAGGGGTGGTGACTGCTTTCTGGGGACTCCCGAGACCAGACTAGTCTTGTAAGAGAGTAGGAGAAAGGGGTCTTCTGCTTTGAACTTCAGGTTGGGGCATTTGCATGTCCTTCTCTGTGGCCTTCATTCATTCACTCTGCATTTATTCTGGCTCTACCACATTCCAAGCATGTGTTTGGGCAGAATAGAGGTTAGGCTGGGAAGGCCTTGGGACCTGGATCAAATCCTGGCTCTGCACTTTACCATCTGGGTGGCCTAAAGGCCTTCTTTGAATCTCATTTCTTCTTTAAGGGAAACAACAACAACAACAACTGTGGCTCATAATACTTAATGGCAAGGTTGATGTGAGGTGTAGTAACATGTAAAGAGTCTTATGGTGGCATCTGATGGGTAGTAGGCATTTCACCAGTGGTAGCTTGTTTTTAAATTAAAGTATAATTCATGACACATAAAACGCACCGGTTTAAACACTGTACATTTCAGTGGCTCTGAGCCTGTTCACACTGTTCTGTGACCATCAGCACTATTTAATGCAGAACTGCCCGCTGTTCTCCACAGTGGCGCCCACTTCCAGTCCCACAGCAGTGAGCAGGAGTTCCAGTTTCTCCACTTCTCCCAGCACTTGCTATTTTTCTTTCTTTTTTTCATTATAGCCATCCTGGTGAGTGTGAAAGTGGTATCTCATTTCACTTTTGATTTACATTTCCCTAAGGACTGATTATTTTGAGCATCTTTTCATATGATTATAGTTGCAGCCTCTTTTTTATTCTTCTCCCATTAAACATTTTTGTTTGATGAGTCTCTATTGTATGGCCAAGCCTAGGATATGGGCCCTGCCCTGAGGCTACTCACAATCCAGTGGAGAAGGTAGATCTTAAAGCAGATCATTGCAACCTGGTAAGAAAACAGGCTATAGAGAAGATGTACATAGAAAGTCCCCACTTAGTGTCCTTGATGAGTTCTTGGAACTGCTGCAAAACAGGCTATAACGATACCGATTTTACCATAGGCCCAGGGTCGGCAAACTGCAGCTCGTGAGCCAGATGCGGCTCTTTGGCCTCTTGAGTATGGCCTTCCACAAAATTCCACGGCCTGGGCTAGTCAATTTTGAAGAAGTGGCATTAGAAGAAGTTTAAGTTTAAAAACTTGGCTCTCAAAAGGAATTTCCATTGTTGTACTGTTGATACTTGGCTCTGTTGACCAATGAGTTTGCCGACCACTGCCTTTGGCTACCTGAGATAAACAAGAGTTAAGTACTATGGCATCTCATCACCCTTATCTTTTTATGGGTTTTTATCTTGTGTCCCCCAGCTGGATGCTTAGCCTCTGTGTCCCGCAGGGCCATGCTAGTTATCTGCAGTGTAAATGCTCAGCAACTGTTAAGCTCCGACCCAGGAGGAGAAGCTCTGGACCTGGTTATACAGCCTTGGCTCTGACTCTGTTCAGGTGATGGCACTCGCTTTTGTGACCTTGCCCAACGCTGAGCTCTTCTGAATGGGGACCCCGCCAGCCCGCTGCTGCTGGCGCCCCGGGCCTGACCTCTGCACGATGGGTTCCGGGACCTCACCCTCTCCAACCCCGGCTTCCTCATCTGCATTCTGAAAGGGTCGAACGCGATGATTTGTGCACCATTCTCAGTTTAAATGCTAGTTTGTGCTTCTGAATGATCGCTTCTTTCCACATCAACATGATCCTGAGCTACAGAGTTTCAGCCCAGGGACAGCATGGCTTGTCTTCTCCCGTGTGGTGGCTGCATCTCAGAATCTGCCCTTGAACTTGTCAGACTGAAAAGTTGCCCGGAGCTTGGCCCCCACACATTCGGAAATCCTAATGCGTCCCTCTCATCCCTTCCCTTCCCCTCCCTCTTTTCTTCTTCCTCTCTCTCTCTTTGTTGTGTTTTTCCCCCACATGTGAAAACACCATCCATCCCATTTCACAATAACTTCACTGGGAGTACTTTCTTTAGGTTTCACATTTTAGCAGCTTCTTGGCTTAAGAGTCCCGGTAGCTTATTGGAAGGAGGCTGTGACTCTGAGAAAGGCCACATCTCCGGTGGGTTGTTCATGCCTAACTCACTGGGTCTATTTCGTGGGCACCAAGAGGAGAACAGGCTTTGTTTGTGAAGGCGGGGCCCGGCTCCTCCATGTAGGGGAAAGGTTGTTTGCATCTCTGGTCAGGAGGGAGGGGTGAAGAAGGACCACCATTTCTTTTCTTGGGCAGTTCCTTTATACTCTCTTTCTTTCTTAAGTCATTCCTATATGTTTGTTTTTAAATTGTATCTTTGCTCAGAAAACTAAAACAATTCCTAACATGTTGACAATAGCAATTTTAACAAGCCACTCGTTGAGTGCCCATTGTGTGCCAGGCATTGTGCAATGTTATGTGAATTATTTTGCTGTCACCCTCTTATCCCCTCTGCCCCACCCCGGACAGAGCAGACTCCTGAGCTCACTAGACTAAAGCCTGGCCCTTCCTCTTCACCTGTCATAGAGCAGCGGTTCCCACGAGGTCTCTCTCAAACCGGAGTCCCGCCTCTGACTAGTCAGGCTTCCGTTCCTAAGATCATTTGGGAAGATTTGGCATTCGGCTATGTTCTGGAATAGTTAGAAGCTTATAAGCTTCCTTCTCAGCTTTACTAACAAGCTGTGAGGAGAGGAGCGTGGCTTGGGGGAGTGTAAGAGCGTGTTTAGCACCAGCACATATGCCCACACACTCACACTCACACAGACCCTCGGAGGCTGGATTTAGCCAGCCGCCTTGCCATGTGCCACCTCCAGCAGCAGGCGCTGTGCCTGGCACCTCCCTGAGGACACAGCAGTGGGGACCTTGGAGGAGCGTAAGACACCGTGGTCCCCAGGGTCCCAGTCAGCCCCAGGAAACAAGACCCCAGTGTTCTTACCTCCAGGGGCCGGTTTTTAGCACGTCCAGGTTCCTGCCTCTGGGGCTTCCTGTTTGAACTCATGACATCCACTGTGAGAGACAGATTTGGGAAATAGAGTTGGAAATCCAAGCAGGAGAAAAAAAGTTCCGTTAGATTATTTGAGGTTGATATGAGGGAGTTGGGAGAACAAGATATCCTTTTGGAGTTGTGCAGCACTTTATGGTTTGTAGTGCACCTCAGTGTGTGTTGTTCCTACACCTGGGTACTGGGCGAGACACCAGAGGCCTGACTCCCCCACGACCCCTTCCATCCTCATCTGGAAAAATAGGGGGCTGGGCTGGGCCGGTTGGTCGCTCAGGTCCCTCAGACTCTGTCAGCTGTGACCTGATACCGATAAGACAGCGGGCAACGTCCCTTGTTGCTCTTTCTGTATCTGACTTGCCTCAGCCTGTCTGCTCTCCGGGAGGCCCCTGTCCTTCCAGCCCAGCTTTGCCTCCATAAGAGCTGTCATCCCTTTCATGCCTGTTGGCACCCGAGCTGGCAGGAACCCACCATCTTTTTCTGGGAAGTCACTTGGCTTAGAAAGACCTCGGTTGATGAGGGATTCGTGTGCTGGTTAAGTTTAGACCAGAGAGCAATGCAAGGGCCACTCCAGTTCCCAGCATGTGTTTAGAATAGAGCCTAGACTTCCATAAAAGGCCACCCTTTACAATGTAATTAGAGAAACCCCTAGGCAAATTCATTAGATCCCATTTCAATGCTTTGTACAGTGCACTCTTAGTAACTACCCCCAACCCGGAGTTAGATGTGACTGCTACTCTCAGGACCCCCGCATGCGGGAGGGAACAGGCCGTGAGCTTGTCTGGGTCTCCTGTTTAACTGGTCTGGCCTCCATGGTTCTCTAGCTTTTGAGGATAATGGGCATCGTTTGGACTCATTTGGACCCATAATGAATCTTGTTCTCTTGCTATGCATTTTAGAAGACAAATCTGACCTTGAAAACAGTGTGATGCAGAAGAAAATAAAAATCCCCAAACTTTCTCTCAATCACATAGAAGAAGATGGGGAGGTTAAAGATTACGGGGAAGAAGATTTACAGCTTAGACACATCAAGGTAACAAAATCTTTCCCTTTTTTGGAAGTACGTGTGAGCACTCTCAGAGTGCTGGCAGCTGAAGAGTTCTAGCCTGGCCTCCTCTTCCCATTAGATGTCCCCTGGTGTCCCAGGTTAGGGACGGGGGGGGGGGGGGTTGCTGCCAGCTCCCCAGGGAGCCCTGACTCAGGCTGTGCCATGACCCTGGTCCCGTTTGCACCACCTACTCAGTGCCAGCGCTGCCGAGGGTTTGGAAGGGTGCGTGCCTCTGGCCCACAGCTCTGGAGCACTGGGCACACAGTTCCTGGGCAGCAGTTCCCACCTGGTCACTCTCCGATTGCCCCAAACAGCGAGGGGTGGACTCCCTCAGAACAGGGTGAGCCGGGTTCACAGAAGGGGATTCATTGGGTTGAAAGAGAACTTGTGCATGAGGCTGCATGTCCTTTGGTGTGCACCCCAGTTAGTCTCCTCGAGCCTTCACTTGAAAACCTTGTTCAACAAGCCAAGTGTTTTTTCTGTACGACGGGTACCCCAGGGGAAGGGAAGAGAAAGACAGAAAGAGAGATGCCTTCTGCCTGGACCGTGGTCTGATTTTGGACACAAGGTCCAGGACATTCCAAAGGTATAGTCCAAAGATACAGCTGAGTTCAGTCCATGCTTTCATGGCTCCCTGACTCTGGGCCTGGCTCTGGGGTTATGGAGATCAGCCAGATGTGGTCACTGCCCTTAGTCTCATGGTGCCATGATGCAGACAGATGACTAAAATGGTCATCACAATTTTAGCTGATAAGTTCATCTAGACCAGCAACATCTATCCCAGCGGATATAATGTCCCCACCCTGGGTGGAGAGTTCCTTGGTTCTGTCATTCCCACTCTCCTCCGTAGAAGCTGCATCCTCAACCTGGAACTTCCTCCAGCAGCTGGACCCCTGCATAGTCCTGGATGATTCTCTTCTCCATGAACCATCCCTGCTCTGTCTACTGTCTTGCAGAGCTTCAGCTTAGCCAGAGTCCAGGGTGGGGCTGGTAGACACGAGGAAGTGCCCAGGCTGGACATTGGGCTTTGAGTCCTGGTCTGGCTTCTTCTGTAGCTCACCCATGACCCTGAGTCTAACCTTCCCCTCCCGGCCTTCGTTTTCTTACCTATGAAATGAGCGATTGAATAGAAGAACCTTTCAGTGCTAGCGTTCTTTGAACTTTTCAGTAACCATTTGTCACACCCCTGCCAAGTGCCAGTCTGGGTAGGAGTGGGGAATGGGGAAACTAAGGCACCGTTGCCCCCCTAGATGAGAGTAGATGGAAATTCTTAGCATCCTCCCCAATTAAAGCATTCTTAAGGAAAAGGTTACTTGACGGAACACCCCTTTTTCACTTTTATGTTGTTGAAGAGATTTGAATGGTGATTGCCCTGGGGTGACGTGACTTACGCTAATTTCTCCCTGGTTCCCCATAAATACACATTGAAACCTCTTGTGAGCTGTCTAGGTCCAATGGTTGGGACAGGGGTTGGGAGTTGGGGAGGGTGGTCATGGTATAATATGCGTCCCAGAGGCAGAGTGATGAAAGAGAAAAGTGCTGGCCTGGGATACCGAGTTCTGATTCTGCCCCCACCTGACCTTGAGACTTTGGGCAAGACTCTCCTACTCTGTGCCTCTGTTTCCCCATTTGTAAAAGGAAGGGCTTTGACTGCATGTCTGCATGGGTTTCTCCAAGCACTGATGTTCTGTGGTTCTGTGATTCTAGGATTGTCTGGGGAAATATTGAGCTGCAGTCCAAGAAAAGTCCCAGCTGCCCTTGCCTGAACTGATTCTCGTTGTCCTACAGAGACCCGAGGGGCGGAAGCCAAGCGACGCGGCACACAAGAGCATTGAGGCCGTGGTGGCCCGGCTGGAGAAGCAGAACGGCCTGAGCCTGGGCCACAGCACGTGCCCAGAGGAGGTCTTCGTGGAGGCCTCCCCGGGCACGGAGGACATGGACAGCCTGGAGGACGCCGCCGTGCCCCGGGCTCTGTATGAGGAGCTGCTGCGCAACTACCAGCAGCAGCAGGAGGAGATGCGCCACGTGCAGCAGGAGCTGGAGCGGACTCGCAGGCAGCTGGTGCAGCAGGCCAAGAAGCTCAAGGAGTACGGGGCGCTCGTGTCCGAAATGAAGGAGCTCCGCGACCTCAACCGCAGGCTCCAGGACGTGCTGCTCCTGAGGCTCGGCAGCGGTGAGTGCCTGCCCGTCTTGCACGCAGGCGTGTGCTTGGTGCAGCTCCACGCCTTGGAGGAGGGTTCAGGGGAGGTGGGCCAAGTGCCCCGAGGCCAGGGAAAAGCAGAGACAGCTCAGCAGTCACCCCAAGGAAGAGCTGCCTCCTCCTGCAGTGAAGCTGATGGGGGAGCTTATAAACGCAGCACCCAGAGCACCCTAGTGGGGACATGAGAGGTGCGGCTCAGAGAATGAGCGGACAGAGCGTTTGCCACCCGCCAGTCATGGCATGCGTTCCCTCAGCCAGAGGCAGTGCCAGGGCTCCTAGGAACCTCCGAGGAGGCTTTGGATAGTGAAGAGAGCCAGAGGCGATTCTAAAAACGCCACTCCTGTACGTGAGAAAGTGGTACAGGCCAGGGCAGCCATGTAGATGAAGTGGTAGGAGAGTTGAAAGGATGGAGAGGGGTGATCTGTATCTGAGGGAGCCAGCGGGGAGGAGACAGGCCTTGAGCGAGGCCTTGACGGTGGGGGGTGGCACAAGAGGAGGCCAAGCAGCAGCCCTGAGTCTGGGGAAACACCTGAGCATGCAAGACCCCTGCAGATAGGGTCTGAGGGCCAGTAACTGCGGGTGTTGGAAGCAGCACCAGCCTGGGGTGTCTGGACTTGTCTTAGTAGGAATGAGAGGAATTGAAGAGCTTTGTGCTGAGTGTGTGGCTTTAGGAAGATTAGCTCACAGATGTGTGGCACTCCTCTGCTTCACTCGCAGGACGCCGGCTCATACTGCATTGATTTTAACAAACCGAGGTTTTAGGTTTTCTCATATAACATGGTTTCAAAGCAGGAATAGGGGAATGAAAGATGTCAGGCTTGATAGCAGGGAGAGATGACTGCTAACCGTGGTGGAGAGACAGAAACACTCAGAACACAAGAATCCAGAGTTATAAAGGATAGAAGCCAGTCGGCATTGAGGAAGTTAGTGGGACGCAAGCCCGTGGCCCCCACACCCCTGAAGGCAGCCACGAGTAGCCCTGTGTCAGTGTGCCTCGCTCAGAAAGGGAGCAGCCAGTGTTGAGACACCGGCCTGTCCCAGAATTTAAAGTCAAGGGCAATCTGGTGTTCAAGAAGGAGGTTCTCATGGTCCAGATCACAGATTCCTATGTGGAGCCTCATTCCTCTGATGTTGGATACATGTGCCCTCACTGCTTTACTGATGTTGATAAATGCCTCTTTTTTTATACTATGTCTGTGAGGCAGTAATTCCTCAGTGGATCTTCAGGATGGCCCAGGGAGTCAGCGAGAGGCCTTCATACCCTGTCACAGAGAAGGGACCGGAGTTTGAGACTCGCCCAGAGTTGCATAAGGAGGCAGGGGGAGGGGGTGAGCTTGTCTCAAACCTCACCTCTCGATTCCTAGGCTGGAAACCTCCTCACTCGCAACTCTGCCTTGGTCGTGGCCATCCTTCCAGACCATAGCCGTTAGAGGTACACAGTGACGCTAAGTTACAATTCATAGGTAGCTTAGACGTTATTAAAAATTTTTATCAAAATAAAATCTCAAAGAGAAACCCTAACTAAACATTTGTGAAAGCTGTGTTGGCTTGGGGTGGGGGATGAGAACCAACTGTAATTTTCAGAGAGAAAAAAGTGTCAGGTCTACAGATGAATAACTTCCTTTTTAACGCACTGTACACTGTGCCTGTTATAAACATCTTGGGGAAAAGGCACAGTCACACAAACTGCCACCATGTTTTTCTGACTCCCATGGAAACTGCCTGTTTTACAGGAGTGTGAACAGAGCTTAAACCCCAGAACCCGCTCATAAGCCTCCGGGGCAATCGATGCTCTGCATTTTCCATCAGCATGTGCCTCTCTCATCTGAATACACGTAGACAAACTTGACCCCCAGGCGTAGTTTTGTATTGAATCTTTCAGGCTCACCCACCCCACAGACCTCCAATGCCATGGTGAGAGCCAGCAGCTGGCTCTTCCCTGATCCTAGTCACTGTCCTCATGACACTGGGACAGACTGAATAGAAATCAGCTCAGACCACAAGTATGTGAAGTACCCACCATTGGCAGTATCCCTGTGGTGAGCTCCACGGGCACCTCAGAAAATCACTCCCACTATCCTGACCTCTGAAAGGGCAGAGCCATTTGCTAGCTCTTGTAAATGGGGAATGGGGACCTTGCCAAGTTCTAAGATAGATCCACAAGACAGAATTGAAGGTCTCTATCCTGGGGGAAGGTAGAGGTTTTCATGTGTCTAGTCTAGTCTCTGGAACCGGGCTTGATTCAGCCGCCAGAATCCTCACTTGCCGATTTTATGGCTTTGGGGACCTTCTTTTCTTCTTCCTTTTCTTCTTCGCTTCCTTCCCTGCTTTTCTCTTTTCCCCCCACACATATTTACTGGCCTCCTGCCGTGTGCCAGGCTTTTTGCCCGGTGTTAATATTCTGATTTATTGAAGCTACAGCCTTTGCCCAGCTGGAAAAACTCAAAGTGTCACTGACACAATCAGCAGCAGCAGCAGCACAGGGCGTGTATGCCACCACAAGGACAGAAGCACACAGAGCTGTGGGGAACCAGGGAGGGCACCCACTGAATTTGGGGAGTGGGGGGGAAAATGTTTCCTGAAGAAAGAATGTTTGTTATCCAGGCAGGAATGAATAGGTGGGAAGAAGGAGGAGCAGTCTTGGCAGAGAACACCTCTCTGAGCCTTGACGTTCTCATCTGCAAAATGGGAATAATATCTTTCTCACAGACTTGTGCCCCACTGCATAGTGCCTGGCATTGTGTCGATGCTCAATTACTGTTCACTCCTTTTCCACACTGTTTAGTGGAGGGGCTGAGAGAGAGCTTAGCTTGGTTTTTAACTCTGGGTTCCCCAACCAGTAATTGGCTGTACAACCTTAGATGGTTTAACCAACTTCTCTGCCTCCCTGGGTCTTCTATAATAGAAGACAAAAGGGGTTGTATATATGCATGTTCATTTGTTTATTCAATGACTCGGTTCATTCGTTCTGAGCCTAGGAACTTGGGGATATAAAAAGAAGGCTAAGACATTGGAAGTTGGGTAGGGGGTGGTGATGTAAGCATATAATTAAAATTCTGGGAGAGGAACTAGCATTTGAAGTAGATCTATTTTTTGGTGAGTCTGGGAGGAAACACCCCAGTATAATAGCTCATGATTCACACATAACAGCAAGAAACCAAAATAAGGCAAAGAATAACCAGAAAGTGCCCAGAGACCCTCTCTGATTCTCAACTTGACTTGCCCTCTAAGGAGCACGTCCTGGCCTGGGGTTGATGTGTGATCTGGGCTGTACCATCCTCAGTCCCCCGGGCCTTTGTGAGCATTGTTCTTGAAGGCCTGTGCTTGTGTGTATTTTACACTGTCCACCTTGCCCATGGGCCCGGCCCGAGGGCCTTTATCTACCTTGAGGGCTGAATCACTCACACCATAACAGGCAGATTCCGAGATGAGGGAGGCCAGCAGGTTAGGAGATGCTCAGTTTTAAACGGAAGGCTTCCTGCTGGGAAGAATCACTGCTCACTCTCCTAGGATTTGGGGCCTTCAGGCGGTGGGGGGGGACGCGCATTGAGCAGGAGCCTGGTCTCCTGAGCCTAATGGGGACTTCCAAGTGGGAGCAGGTTCTCTAGAAGCCAGGAGTACCTGGTTGGTGTACCTGGTGGAAGTTGGGAGAAGAAGGGTTGGAACAGCAGCAAGAAGGTATAAGATGTTTTAGAGATGTCACTGGATGGCTCATCTCTTCGTTTATGCACTTATTCTTTCCTTCATCTCACAAATAAACACACAACAGATCTCACAGGAAAAGATTCTCCAGAACAGGGAGGCATGGAGTGTGAGAGACCTTGGAGAGCCTATAGGCTGACGCCCTCATGTTGCTGATGAGGAAATAGGCCAGAAAGTGTCATTGGCCTATTTTTAGGGGCCTCTTGACACTTGGTCCTAAGTCCTCTCTCTCAGGGCCCTCACCCCACATGGCCTTCTTTAGTTCATGGCACCTCATTGTCACTGACATGAGCACTACTCCCCACCTCCAAAGGGTGTCTCTCCTTCTCTGTGATCTTAGCATGGAAAGCAGCTCTCTGATGGGAGGAACCTTGTATCCTGCCCTGCTCTCAGGACCTCCGTGACTGTAAAAATTAAGTGAGGAAGCAACTGTAAAGAAGACAGCAGTCCCCCCTTACTCACAGTTTTGCTTTCTTACCCGTGGCCAACTGAGGTTCAGAAATGTTAAATGGAAAATTCCAGAAAGAAACAATTCATAACTTTAAATTGTGCGCCATTCTAAGTAGCCTGATGAAATCTCACTCCATCCTGTTCTGTCCCACCCAGGACATGAATCACCCCTTTGTCCAGGCTATGCACGCTGTGTGCTCTGCCAGCCCGTTAGTACTTAGTGGCCATCTCAGTTATCAGATGACTGAAGTGTTCAGGTGCCGTGTTAGTGACCCTCATTTTACTTAATAACAGCCCCGAAGTGTACGAGCAGTGATGCTGGCAATTCCGATTCGCCAAGGAAAAGCCATAAAGCACTTCCTCTGAGAGAAAAGGATTGTATGTATAGGGGAAAACATAGGACACATAGGGTTTGGTTCTATCTGCAGGTTCAGGCACCCACAGGGGGGTCTTGGAACATGTCCCTGTGGATAGGGGAGACTGCTATGGAGCCCGAGGACCAGCATATGCTGTGTCAGTCCCTTCTCCCTTTTCTTTCCTTCCTGCTCACTCTCTCCCGACGAAGTAAATGCTGGGGATGCAAGAAGCATGAGATACTCTAATTATAAATTACAGCTTTATTTGTGTTGTAGACCAGTTCTTCATTCATTCATTCATTCATTCAGCAAGCATTTATTGAGGGAATGCTTTGTGCCAGGACTGTGTTAGTTGCAGGAATATGGACGTGAGTAAGACAATCCTTTTTAAACATTCCCCAGCTCAGGGTTAGGTAGTGTTTATTAAACTGGGGCTTGGCAGGCTCCCCGGATTCTAAGGGAATG